CTTATTGGCCCAATATGCGTTTATGGCATAATTCTGCTAACGAGGGGGGTCTGGTCTATATGCGTTTATTATGTCTGAAAAAACTGATACATCATAAACGCATATTGGGGAATCTAACCACTTACGTCAGGAAACCCATTTATCATTTACCAACATTTACCATGAATGCAGGGAACCATCGAAAAAAAAAAACATGTTGCGAGGTCCATTTTTTGTGTAATATGCGTGCTTAATATATTTTGGGTGGCAGGGACCTTAATTTGCGTTTTCAGTGTAAGATTTTGGCGGGTTTCTGCCGCTATACCAATCAGCCATGTGATTTACTGGGCTTGAGGAAAAAAATGCCATCGGATTGTGTGAGGATATCATCCGAATTTTCTCAGGATATCCACATATATCAAGAGAAGGTTCTTGTGGCAGTCAGAATATCCTGAACGTACATCAAGACAGTTTCCAGGATTTTTTGGATGTACATGATAAAGCTGCTTAAAGGAAAATGAACAACATGGCAACATTTTCAAAGGATAAGATGGGACAATTTTGGGGGGATGTCACTTTTGGAAACTGATGGAAATTTTGTTTTCAGGATACCATCACAGTTTCCGAAGGATAAGAAATCTCTGAGGATCAGAATTTCTGAGAATAGTTCTCTGACGGCATCATCAAAAAGCATCTAGGATTCTAGGATATCAGCAGAATCTCTGGAGGATACATTCAGAAATTTCTGAGGGTCATCAGATTTATCGGATATCCTCTGATCATCAGAACGTTGGAAGGATATCATTTTCGCGACATGCATCAGATAATTTTGAGCATGGAAAAAGAGGCAAGCACAACAACTAGAACAGCGCGTGCTGTATGTATACAAAATAGCGGCAAGTTTTGTGATGGTTTTTCCTTTGAGAATCAGATTTGCCAAGGGTCATTCTGACAATCATTGGATATATCTGGTGATTAGCATATCAAATGTATTTGATGATTATCATAATGGTATGGTCTGTTTGAAAATGAAATATAGCTTTGATGATCTGGGAAAAAAACAAACAGTAAAACACTGCGTGTTGTCTGTGTACACAATAGGGCCGTGCTTCGTGCTTGACTTTGTTCTTCGAGAACACTTTTTTTTGCAAGGATCGTCGTTCGACGAACAGCGGATATATCCGATGATTATTGGAATTGTCATTATCAGAATTTTCTGATGATTAGCAATAAATTCCAGAGAATCCTCAGAATTTCCTGAGGACTCCTCAGCATTTTCTGAAGAACTCATAATTTTCGAAGGATCCTCATCCTCAGAATGGGGATCCTCATCCTCGGTATTTTCTGAGGATCCTCATCTTCAGAATTTTCTGGGGATCCTCATCCTCAGAATTTTCTGAGGATCCGCAGAATTTCACTCAATAAGTGTTTTTTATTGAACATGTGCCAAAAAAAAATGTCTATTTTCAAACAAAAATAGCTTTTATTGAGTGGAATTTCTGCAGGTCCTCAGAAAACTCTGAGGATGACGATCTCAAGAAAATTCTGAGGATGGCGATCCTCAGAAAATTCTGAGGATGACGATCTTCAGAAAATTCTCAAGATGACGATCCTCAGAAATAAAATTGAGGATCCTCAGAAACTTGAGGATTTTCAGACAATTCTGAGGATTCTCAAAAAGTCTGAGGATGAGGATCCTCAAAAAAACCTGACGATTCCGCAGGAAATTTTGAAGGCTCCTCCGAAAATGTTTAGGGTTCCTCAGTAAATTTCGAGGAGTCTCCAGAATTGTTTGATAACCATCCAAAAGTTCTGATATATAATGAAAAATGCTAATCAAGGATCAGTTTTTGTTGCAACACATCAGCTACAAAAAACGCTGCCAATGTTTTCAGCGCAAATTGCGACAGTTTTCTGCGGATATCACCAGCGTCCCTAAATATCATCACAACTTTCCAAGGATGTCATCGGAATTATCATCAGAAGTTTGTGAAGATGATCGGACCTGACTGAGGATATCATCAGAATGGTCTAATCAAGTTTTCAGCAGAAATTTATCACGATACCAGCCACAAACTCCTTGGGGATATCATCAGGATTTTCTGATACCAGCCCAGGGGATCAAGAGGATATCATATCACCAAAGTTTTCGGAGGACAACATCAGAAAATTACTATAGGGACCGTTTCTTCAAAATTTGAGAGCGACAACGCTTCAAACCGTTTGGCTTTGGAAGATTGGGGCGGTTGTCCTCAGACTTGTTTGTTCGTTATTGGCGCCCGCGTGCCAACATGAATATGTTGTTTTTTCATGAGGCGTTTGTTCGTTTGACTTTCCGAGATTATGGTAATAATTGGTAATAGCATTGAGTTGTGAGAATGCTGCTCAGGATCATCCAGCCGAGAAGCATGCTATATTGAGATTCCATTGCCACAAAAATAAAACTTAAATGAATATATCAACGCAGATTGGCCCATAGGAAAGTGAATATTTTCGTGATTCCGTCACTTCCAAACAAGCGATATGCAAATTTAAAGTCTAATTTGTCAAAAAAGAAACCAGCAAATGTTGTTTTTCCCTCTCGAAGCACTCAAGACGCATATAGCGCACTCATTATCAGAAAACTGAATAAACCTTAAGCTCAGGAATGGCAAGATCTGACAATGTTTGCGGGTTGAATGTCCGGGCAAGGTCCTGCACATACCACCGGGAAAACCACTTGCTCAACATGCGTTTTCAACCTAGAATCGTCGAAAGTTAAGCGCAAAAACCTTCCATTTGAGTTTTAGTGTAGTCAAAACGCTTATTGAGGGTCCACCCTCAGAATATTCGCTAAAATTAGGGTTCACGAAATCCCTTATATATATATATCCATATCTATATCTATATCTACATCTATATCTATACCTACCTAAATGCAGTATAATATCAAATAACTACACTATATTATATATATATAGATATAAATTATATAGCATATACAGCACTTTTTACTTCTTAGCCATGAATTCCATGCACTTCAAAGCCTTATAATTCTCGAATGCTCGAGGCCGGGATGTCCTGTTTCTAGCCGGCGTGGGATCAGCCGAATGACTTGCACCACTCCTCTTCAAGGGAGCTGACTTTGTGAGACATGCAAAATTGCTATGCTCAGCAGTGCTGCAATTTTCAGAAGCTCCAGCAATTCTCAGAGATTTGCGAGATTTTTTCAGCCAAGATGCCTTATTTACTGTAAAAGATTTTCAAGAGATTTCAAGACTCAACCACCTGGCATGTCTTAAGAACTCCAAATTTCAACTATTTTTTAACTTTTGATGCACAAGTGATCTATCTCAGCAACGTTTGGATTCCAGATCTCTGGAGGTTGCGGAGTGTGACCCTATTGAAGATGCACATCTTCACACCCCAGGGCGGCAGCTAATGACATCAAATGTTTCAAGACCCAGCTGCACTTGCAGGCTCTTGCCGGCTACGATAGAGGATTGCTGCCCCTAATTTTCACCTCACTTTGCTGATCGCGAGCCAAACCTCCTTAGCAAATGCGACACAGATGGAGCCATTGCAGTTTATGTCTCCATGATTTCAGCTACACTTGAAGCTTCAGATGGCACTTGTCTGAAGTGCAAGTTTTCGCTAAAGTGCTCAGCGAAGTGCTTTGTGCATATCACATACCTACTTCCAATTCAGTGTTTGAAGGGCAAAAGGAGCGGCAGCTTGCTGGAGTGGATTCTGGAATCATCAGCTGCAAAAGTTTTTGTAGCTTCCAGAGCTTGTTTTAGCTGAAAGATGCCAGCCCTGCTGTTCCTATCTATTCCTCAGGTCTTGCTTGCTTCCAGAGCAGTGGGTCAACGATGAGGTGGGATGCGCAATGCTGGAAAGATTCACGGTCACTGCCATTGCAACAAGCTGCGCACCTGCAATCGTTGCATATCCCTGATGCGCAGCTGCATTTTTGCTCATCCTTTGTGGATCTCTTGGCCGTGCTTATAGTTTTTGCTCGCGGTGATGATTTCAATATACTACTTATACGTATAAACGTGCGTGCGCACGACAAAATCTAATGTGCCATATAACATGCATGTTTTTGCAATGTATATATATATATACATGTGTGTTAGAAAGACCTTTCTGTACTATTCGACGGCTGAAGATTCCTGCTGCATTTCCTTTTACACAACAAAAAATAGTAAGAACTTTATTTATGGTATTGATTAAATTTTCAAAGCTTCCGCCCGAATAAAAAACATGTTTATTTTATTTCTTAAAATTTTAAAGCTTCTGCCAAAATATATAAACTAAATAACATAAATGTGTTTCTATTTATTTTATTTAATATTAAATGTTCAAAGCTTCCGCAAGAATAAATAACATAAACAAAATAAATATTTTTTTGGCTTCAGTTCCTTCTCCAGAAGGACCTGGAAATTTAAGAAATAAAATAAATAAAGTAAATACTTAACGTTATTTCTTTTATTTCTTCTGGCGGAAGATTTGAACATTTAAGAAATCAAATGAATATTTTTTTATGCTGGCGGAAGCTTTGAACACTATTCCAGATATAAACGGGATACATTTATATATATATATATATCATTATACATTGGATATAAGTGGGATACTTGTACCAGTATCTAAGAAGCTAGGGCGCAGACAAAAGTAAGAGTATTTTTGTAAAAAATCTGGCTCAGGTATAAGAGAGAGAGAGAGTAAACAATGGGGCTCGGGCTCAGTAGCCTCCCTCTTGTCCAAGCCTTTCCACTACAGCACCCCCATGCCTGCAGCTGCCAGTTCCTCAGTTGCACCTAGTCGGGAAAGAAGCCGTAAATTACCGGTTCCCCAAAGATCCCCAAAGCGAGTCAGAATCAGATTGACTAAATTGAGACCTTCTGTGATCCTTGTTGGGCCATTGTTGCACGTCACGTGTCTGCAGGGAGAAAGAGAAAAAGAGAAAGAATGACCATGACTGACCTCCTGGCGCAGCATAGCACAGCTCAAAACAAGAGAAGTTTCTTAGCGCTCCCATGGATGGAATGCAAGTACCAGTGCCTCCTGGCACGAAGACAGGGTACAGCCGAGCCTCTACGAGACCAACAAGTGCCACCACTGCATGCAGTGATTCTCCCAGGTCGCGGCCCCAACGTCCTCTGAGCGCTCGATCCACTGGTAGCCGTGATGCCCGAAACTCTGCATGCTATGAGGCAGACTTTGCAACCAACAGCTGGTCAGACTGGCAAAGTGCACCAAGCAGACCCACCAGTGCCAAAAGTCAAGCGGGTCAAGTGGCTTCTACACCACAAACGGCCAGACGCCTCTCCAATGCAAGTGGCTATGAAATGATCCCCGTCCGTGCTGACAGTGCACGATCGACCAGGACTCCTGAGCATCATTCTCTTGAGGAGGAGTTGAGTGAGCCGGTCCTTACACGGATCCCAAATTCAATCGCCACCCAACTGGAGAAGCAAGTCGCAACAGCTATCGGACTGAGAGGCAGGGCACGCCTTGTCCCAAGGCTTCCTCGGAGCGTTGTCAGCTGCAAACATGGCAGCGACTGTTGCTGGCGATGGCTCGCCCGGGCTGCGTTGGAAGAGATTTGGGGCAGCAGCTTGGCAACTCTGAGCTTAGCGGAGTGTGTCAAGAAGATGAAAGAGGACACAGATAAGCAACAGGCTGCCTGTAATAAAGCGATACAATCCGTTCGTTCATGTTCGTTCCATCTCTCTTTCTCTCTCTCTCTCTCTCTCCATTTTTTCTTCTCTGGCTTGTGGTCAAAGTTTTGAGATACCAGCATCCCTCGTGATTATACCCTTGACCCAAGCATATAAAATTGTAAATGGAATGCAATAAGACAAAAAGTAAATGAATTAAAAAGCACGCACATGCACACACGCGGACACACACACACACTCTCCCACACAGAGAGAGAGAGAGATATATATATATAATTATATATATATATCTATACATACACATCACACGCTGTGACTTGACGAGCTTGTATGCTGTGTAGAGGAGTTTGCTCAGCTGCAAGCAGATCGAAGAGATTTTGAGGCAGAACAGTTTCGAGCCAAGGCCAGACCTAATGTCGCGGTGATTTTGTAAAGAAGTGCGCAAGAATTGGTGCAGCGTTGCTTCCACATGATCTATACATCTACATCATATCTATCTACGCCTATACACCTATACATCTATCTATGTGTTTGTCTATGTGTCTATCATTTTATCTGTCGATCTATCCACATCAAGCCACCCATCCGGCTATCCATCCATCTATCTATCTACCTACCTACGGGTCTATCTATCTATCTAACCTAACCTAACCTAACCTAACCTAACCTAACCTAACCTAACCTAACCTAACCTAACCTAACCTAACCTAACCTAACCTAACCTAACCTAACCTAACTATCTACCTACCTACGGGTCTATCTATCTATCTATCTATCTATCTATCTACCTACGGGTCTATCTATCTATCTATCTATCTATCTATTTATCTAATCTAACCTAACCTAACCTAACCTAATCTAATCTAATCTAATCTAATCTGATCTATCTATCTATCCATCTATCTATCTATCCATCCATCTACCTTTACGAACAATCTAATCCAGTTGATCGCATCTGATTTCATGTAGTCATCCCCGGCACGGCAGAGAGTCGCAACTCCAGGCAGCTGAGGAGACTGCTGCGCGGCTCCAGGAAGAACTCACGGAATGCAAAGTCGACGGCAGAGAGTTCAGGCTGCAGCATTTGGGGTGGGCAAAATGGCAAGAAATGACCAGGCGAAGTTGAGACATGCTGAGACACAGATGATCTTAGTGCAGTTGCACATATTTAAACATATTTTAACATAGGTTTACTGTGATTCATTGGCATTGAGACAATGATTGCATGTCACACTTGTGACTGCTGTGACTGCCAGGGTGCTGGAACGAGAGCACGGCCGCGTGCAGAATGAAACTATTGAACTTCGAACTCTCGCAGGCAGGATATTAGTGGGATAATTATTACTGTAATGGTATTTCATGGGACATTCGTGGGATAGAATGCTGTCAAACCATGTAGGCCTGATCCACAAAATGCAGCCCAGGAAAATTAGATGCACAGTTGGAGCTGCAAAGAAAGCAGTGGCATCAAGAAAAAGAAGTGATGATACAGCAGGCCGGGCAAGACCCATCGAAAGACACCCGCACACATGTTCTGCTTGTTGCACAGTTGCACCCGCTGTTCATTTGACGTATTTTGCCATTCTTTCACACCTCAGGCCTTCATGATGCATCAAGCCCCACCTCGGAGCAAGTGATTCCACCAATGTTGCCATCAAAGGATTTGAAATTAAGGAAATTTCAATATGTTTAATGGCCGCCTTTGATTGTGCACTTCCACCTGCTAACCAACAAATCGCAGCCACGCAAAATCGAGCCTCCTTAACTACAAGTCAACATTGAAATCTGACTTGATGTCAAGACTTGGATCTGTGCATCATTTCCACACAGCGTATGTGTTAAAATGTTTTATCCCAAACAGCTAAGAACATTCAAAATATCGCAAAATATACTCGACAAAATCACCAAATCTATGGTCCCTTGGGTTTATTTATGACATTCCCATTTGTTTTCCCATTAAACTTTTATGGTTAAATAACCCTTTTCATATCGCCAAAGTGATCCACCATGGCTTCCGCCAGGCCACAGCGGAGACGGAGCAGTTGCGCAGTCGCGCTGAAAGTGCTGAAGCAAGTGCTGTCCAAGCGCAGGCAGGGAATCTCTAGCCGAGTTTCTTGATGTTTTTTTTAAAATGTTTTGATTGATATGGTTAAATATCATTAAATCCCTATTGTTGATGGTTAAACCCCAGTAAATCCCATCTTAACATAATGTCATGCCCAAGATTCGACACCCGGAATTACAACTGAGTATTTTTTTTGGGGGGGGGTGTCTGGATGCAGAAAAGTAGATAAAGTGGGAACTCCACGAGACACATTATGCACCAGCCGTAGACTCCCATGCAGACGGCGTAGGTTGCGCAGGCATTGGCGTAGGCTCGTTTTAACCTACACCGCGTAGGCTCTGTGTAGACACTCGTTGGCAACAGTTAGAACTTATTCATTTTGCCTTGGTTAGTTGGGTATGTGTGGCTTGTGGTTCCAAAGCCTCATGCCACAATTGAAAACAAAAAGAAGCCATGGCCGCGTATAGGCAAAGCCTACACCGCGTAGCCTCGCCTAGGCACCCCTTAAAAACCATACCCCGCTTTGGCTACCTCATGCAATGCGTAGGCTCGGCGTAGATAGTTGCGTGTTTTTTTTATTGGTCATCCAAAAACAGGATTAAAAACACCACTCACTACTCGACTGGGTGAACCTTTGTAATTGCAACTGATTCAAGGAAGATTTTGGAGGAAACTGTGGTGTTGCATGTGTTTGTCATCGAACATATGGATTTTCAGCACTATTTGCGTGAGACATCATGAAACCGATTCTGGAATTTAAGAATCTTTAGGGCCGGCAGAGATGTGTTCCACCACATGGTGTGGCAGGCAGTTGAAAATGATCTTCGTGAGCGGGTCAAAGAGTTGCAACAGCAAGTCAGGAGAGTGCGGACGGAAGACAAACTGTTGCTCTGCAACCTGGGGTTACAAGTCTATGGTTAGATGATGTTAGATAGATATATATATATATGGGTTGCGCGCAAAAAGGACGGTTAGGGTTTTAGTCTTCAGGAGGTCGAAATTGTTTTTTTTTTGTTTTTTTAGTCTATCGTACAAGGCGGGCACCAGCCTGAATGACGTTATTCACCAGTTTAGTACAAGTTTAGTACTACTAGTACTACTAGTACAACTAGTACAAATAGTACTACTAGTACTACTAGTACTACTACTTCTACTAGTACTACTAGTACTACACGTACTACTCGTACTACTCGTACTACTTTTACTACTAGTACTACTCGTACTACTCGTACTACTTTTACTACTAGTACTGCTAGTACTACTAGTACTACTACTTTTACTAGTACTACTAGTACTACTAGTACTACTAGTACTACTAGTACTGCTAGTACTACTAGTACTACTAGTACTACTAGTACTACTAGTACTACTAGTACGACTAGTACTACTAGCACTACTAGCACTACTACTTCTACTAGTACTATTACTTCTACTAGTTCTATTACTTCTACTAAAACTACTTTAGTACTACTACTTTTACTTCTACTAGTACTACTAGTACTACTAGAACCATGCCAATAATTGACATGGCCGCGCGGATTCCGCGCGCGCGGAATCCGCGCGCGCCGAATCCGCGCGCGCGGAATCCGCGCAGATGTTATAAGGTCAGAAGGACATTCTAGTTAGCTTGGAGGAGCGCAGGTGACTACTACTACTACTACTAGTACTACTACTACTACTACTAGTAGCACTAGTACTAGTATTTCGGGTACCAGTAATGATATTACTTTGACGATCGCTAAAATTGTTCCTAGTTTGATTGCCCGTGCTGATATTTTTGAAGTTGAAGAAGACTCCAGGAAAGGTCAGAAACAGGTCAGAAACAGGTCAGAAACACCAAAAAGGCAACACTTGCCTAGCATCCATCCATCCACCCATCCACCTCAGCTCTTATCATTGCTACTTCTACTATTACTATTACTACTATTACTACTATTACTACTATTACTACTTCTACTACTACTACTACTACTAGTAGCACTAGTACTAGTATTTCGGGTACTAGTAATGATATTACTTTGACGATCACTAAAATTGTTCCTAGTTTGACTGCCCGTGCTGATTTTTTGAAGTTGAAGAAGACTCCAGGAAAGGTCAGAAACAGGTCAGAAACAGGTCAGAAACACCAAAAAGGCAGCACTTGCCTAGCATCCATCCATCCACCCATCCACCTCAGCTCTTATCATTGCTACTTCTACTATTACTATTACTACTATTACTACTATTACTACTACTACTACTACTACTCCTGCGACTACTACTACTACTACTACTACTATAACAAGAACAACAACAACTACTACTACTACAACTACTACTACTACTACTGCTGCTGCTGCTACTACTACTACTAGTACTAGTACTAGTACTAGTACTAGTACTAGTACTAGTACTAGTACTAGTAGCACTAGTGCTAGTATTTCGAGTACTAGTAATCATTTTACTTTGACTATTACTAACAGTGTTTCTCGTTTGGCTGCCCGTGCATATTTTTTTGAAGTTGAAGAAGACTCCGGGAAAGGTCAGAAACAGGTCAGAAACAGGTCAGAAACACCAAAAAGGCAGCACTTGCCTAGCATCCATCCATCCATCCACCTCATCTCTTTTCATTGCTACTTCTACTACTACTAGTACTATTACTACTAACCTGAATGTCCTTCTGACCTGAAAACATCTGCGCGGATTCCGCGCGCGCGGATTCCGCGCGCGCGGAATCCGCGCGGCCATTTCAATTATTGGCATGGTGCTGGTCTCAACCGTAAACGGATATAATATATTTATATATATTGTAAATCTGATCAAGTCCGTATCTTATCTTCAAGAGGATGCTTGCAAAAAAACGAATGTAAATGGTTGGATGCTAGGCAAGTGCTGCCTTTTTGGTGTTTCTGACTTGTTTCTGACCTGTTTCTGACCTTTCCCGGAGTCTTCTTCAACTTCCAAAAAAAGCACGGGCAGCCAAACGAGAAACACTGTTAGTAATAGTCAAAGTCAAATGATTACTAGTACTCGAAATACTAGTACTAGTGCTACTAGTAGTAGTAATAGTAGTAGTAGGAGTAGTAGTAGTAGAAGTAGTAGAAGTAGTAGAAGTAGTAGAAGTAGTAGAAGTAGTAGAAGTAGTAGAAGTAGCAATAGTAATAGTAGAAGTAGTAGAAGTAGCAATAGTAATAGTAGAAGTAGAAGTAGAAGTAGCAATGATAAGAGATGGATGCTAGGCAAGTGCTGCCTTTTTCGTGTTTCTGACCTGTTTCTGACCTGTTTCTGACCTTTCCCGGAATCTTCTTCAACTTCAAAAAAATAAGCACGGGCAGCCAAACGAGAAACACTGTTAGTAATAGTCAAAGTAAAATGATTACTAGTACTCGAAATACTAGTACTAGTGCTACTAGTACTAGTGCTACTAGCTACTAGTAGTAGTAGTAGTTGTTGTTGTTGTTGTAGTTGTAGTAGTTGTAGTAGTAGTAGTAGTAGAAGTAGTAGAAGTAGTAATAGTAATAGGAGAAGTAGAAGTAGCAATGATAAGAGATGAGGTGGATGGATGGATGGATGCTTGGCATGTGCTGCCTTTTTGGTGTTTCTGACCTGTTTCTGACCTGTTTCTGACCTTTCCCGGAGTCTTCTTCAACTTCAAAAAAATAAGCACTGGCAGTCAAACTAGGAACAATTTTAGGGCAAAGGTTTAAATAAGAGGACATGTGAGAAATGAATTCGCCAAAAGGCGGGCCCCAGGCAGAACGCGAATTTTGACCGCTTTCGGGAACCAACATTTTGCAAACACCCCATATATATATAATTATATATATATAACTATATATATATAATTATATATATAACTATATATATATACGGTACCACCCCACCCCAGTAACATATGGTATACATCAATATGGTAAGGTAGACCGTACCATCCAACATCCATCCAACATCCATTTTACCATATTCAATCCATATCATGCTATGGCAGTGCATTGTCTCGGGCAGTCTACCTATTGCATAGAATTTGCACAAGCAAAGTGATTACCATGATCATCCTATGTCCACTTCCGATCGTTTCTGCAGGGAGCTTAAGTCCGAGTTGCAAGAAGATCGAAACATGAAACTGAAACTCATGAAGAAGCCAGGCTCCCTGGCAGCAAACCGACGTTCGGCTTCTTCGGGTAGACCCTGGCATAATTCGGCACACATCTTTCAACTTGTTTTTGCACTTGCTCTACAGCTCCGATGGGGACGCGCTGAGGTCCTTTTCACATCATTTCGGTTTGTCTTAAAATGAGCTTTGAACTTTACTTAAATTTGTGACTTAAATGCGGGAATATGAAGATTTGAGGATATTTGGAGCATCCTTCATTTGGAGACAACCTCCATTTGGTGATTGCCAAGGCAAAAAGAAACCCTCCGCGAAGCGATCGGCTTCGCGTCGAAAATCAAAGAGTCGATCAGGGACTTCACCTTCGAAGTCGCGGAGTAAAAGTCGACGGCGGCGTGGATGACAGTCTTTGAATCAGTGCACCTTGATACCAGAAAGTTAGGCCCTTACAAATGTATACAAATGTTATGTATATATATATATGTGTGTGTGGGTGTGTGTGTGTATGTTTATATAATATATATATATATGTCTGTGTGTGTGTGCGTTTGTTTGTTTACTTGTGCGCTGATTTATTGTGTAGTTTTGACAAGTGGATGCTTTGCGAGTAGAATCCCTGGTGAACTGCTCCCAGCGGATCCTCGCAGCCACAGTGATGAAGCTTTGAAAGGTGACGGAAGGTAGCAGGATTGTTTAACGACATATTTGCTGAGCAAGCACTTCTCACAAAATCTGGCTCCTGAACAGCAGGAGCACTTGTATACACCTGTTATTTCTCGCCATTCATGTTTTGAGGAACGTTTGTTTTTTGGTGAGACATGCTTGTTTTGTACCAATTTTTCCAGGCCAACCATATTCAAAACAATAGCTTGCCTCTTGTTTGTTCCTGGCAGGTGGAAAGAGGTTGCCTTGATAAAATTGCAAGTGCAACCGTAGTTTCAGTAGGTGAAGCCTATCAAGACGAAGAGGCACGGCATGGCCATCATTGGCTGTCCGAAGCCGAAAACAAAAGACTCCGCCAGCGGCAGCTATACAGCATGAAACTGTTGGTGAGTTGGTGGGTTTTAGATGGTTTTAGTGGCTGTATGCTGTATTTAAAGAGAGCCATGATAGCTGAAGATTCTTTCTGATATCCATGGATCTCAGCACGATCCCTAAGGCCTTAAGGATCCCAAGTGACACCTGGAGATTCGTAGGATGTAACCCAGACCTGCATCTGAGGCTTGAGGCTTACAGTGACGCACCAATTCAGTGTGGAACACTGGCGTTTCAACAGTTATTCACTGTTTCAGCTTAAACCCTATAAAAATGCTGAATGATCTGAATTGATACTGTACGCTTCAATAATCTCAGGAAGAAGGATTCAGATCATCTCATGTGCCTTAGCAGAGTCGATGGGCCCGTGCACCATTTGCGGACTCATGGGTGAAAAAAGAACTGTGGCTCCACCAATCCAGGGATTGCAGAAATACAGCTGTCAATTGCAACTTTGCAGCAGCCGCACCAGCACCAACCAAAAGGAGGCAGAAAATAGAAGTATATATATATATTTATATATATATAATAGATATATATATATAATAGATATTGCCGTTGCAGGACATTGATTGGACAATCTTCAACTGGACTGTAAACGGTATCAATGCAGACTCATGATTGTTCTGACCAGATTGACCAGATTGCACTCCAAAGATTGTCCACATGCCGTGTTTTTCAAGTGATTTGGCGTGAGAAGGGACCTTAGACATGCCAGCAGGTGATGAACTGCTACTTGCGAATGATTCAGGTGGGCCACGGAAAGCAAATGGCAGCAAGAAGCACATTTAGTAATTTAGCACATGTAGCAGTTGGATCCCATTTAGTAATTTAGTACATGAAGCAGATTTGGTACATGTCCCAGCCTGTCCCTTGTAGCAGTTGGGTCCCATTCTGCTCCATCCCCAGGAGCAGAGTGATGGGCAACTCTGGTGCCCCAGCAGCTTCTTTTGGCCAAAGCTTGAGCTTGGTGGCCACGCTGCGGTCCAGCGCTGGGCTAGGCTCGTCCCTCGCCGTTGGGACTATCCAGTTGGGGATGATCCAAATCCAAGCGAGGCGTGCCGCTGTGAATGTGGCCAGCTGTGATGCCCTTGTGGTTCCGCTGCACCTTGAAGGTGTGGCTGATATTCAGCTGTTTTGCTGCCAAGGTCATCAGATTTCCATAGATTTCGTATATTTAGATATATTTAGTATATTTGTTTCAAGATGCTTGAAAAAACTTGAGATGAAATACGAACTACTTTATAGTACTGTATATTTGAGTATATGTAAGTATCATTCGGTCATCTTTGATTTGGAAGTCCATATCCCCTTTGTTCAGCCACCAGGTTGCCACTGGTCGTGTGGGGACCAAGCGTCCGAAGCAACTGCTGCATTTGGTGCGAACATTTCGCATTGTTTGTGACCCCAGGCTGGCTGTGGTGCGAATTTCACTGCATCAAGCTGAGTGTTTACTGGTTGTCACTTTTAAATACTTTGACTTTTAAATTTTGTTGTCCTGAAGATCCTCAAGAATCTTCAAGAATCCTCAAGCATCCTCAAGGCATCACAACTGCAACATGCGTGTCATTCAACGCCGTTTTTAGCAGTATTCACATTGGTTAGCCACCGAGATTGAGGCACCATATCCTCTACCTAGATTCCTTGGGGATGCCTGCGCCGGAGCTCTTACAGAGCAGGCTGTCAGAGTTTGTCTCCAAAGAGGATCCAGCCCTTTCAGGCGAGCCGTGGAGTGAATCGTGGTTGCAATATCAATGTACATTTGTCTATCTATTTGCCAATATTTGCCAATATTTGCCAATATGAATATGAAATATTCTTATATAATATTATATGATATTATATGATATTATATATATATACTTATATATACTTATATATACTTATATATACTTATATATACTTATATATACTTATATATACTTATATATACTTATATATACTTATATATACTTATATAATTATATATACTTATATATACGTATATATACTTATATATACTTATATATACTTATATATACTTATATATATATACTTATATATACTTATATATACACTTATATACACTTATATACACTTATATATACTTATATATACTTATATATACTTATATATACTTATATATACTTGTATATACTTATATATACTTATATATACTTATATATACTTATATATACTTATATATACTTATATATACTTATATATACTTATATATATTATATATAATCTTATATATATACTTATGTGTATATTGTACTTATATATATACGGTATATATATGTGCATACTATATATATATGTAAATATGGATATATATATATATATAAATATATATATATATGATTACATATATATATATATATACTTATATATATATACACAGTATATATATATATGTTTGTGTATGTACGCATGGGTGGATGATGATGGATGTATGTATATAGCTGGCTAAACATGTGCGCAATTTCACGTGGCGCTTTGATGCGCTTTCATCATGCCAGTTTGGTTGTACTTTCCACTCAGGCTTGTGGCAGCTTTATGTGGTCAACAAGATCCCGCCAGCTTCTCAGTCGTGTGTATATATTTTCTGGGATGGCAGGGTGTAAGGATCATCTTCAGAATCTTGGGATATGTGGTGTTTACCCTCTGGTAATTTAACATAGCTATTGAAAATGGCCATTTATAGTGAGTTTTCCCATTAAAAATTGTCATTTTCAATAGCTATGTTAGTTTACCAGAGGGTAAATCTGAGCACCCTTTGGAGATTTCGCAAAGGAGAAACCAGTTCACGACCGGCAGGACTCAGCTCAACAGCTCTGACTGTGGCATTTTCGTCCTGGCATATGCTGAATGCGTTGCCCGGAGTTTGCCCCTCCGTGACGATCTCAGCTGGCAGAGTTTCCTGGTGGCTGATAGTAGCTAATGGTAGCACCAGTAACATCCAGTAACACTCATCTTATCTCGTCCTTGTCCCAGATAACTCCAGATGTCTTTGATGCGAGGTGTGGATGGCTCTCGTAAGAGCATCGAGAGCAAGGCAGGGGGAAGCATGGGGAGCTCATTCAATGTCTAAGACGATAGGATCGTTGCGCATTTCGACTTAGGAGGATTGATCAAACTTGACCTATCTGATCTTGACCTTTTTTTATCATGGCATCATACCGACCAGCAGTTCTCTGCAGCTGACTTTGCACTCACGTTCTTGTGCTCTGACCCTGCAGCGCCGTGCCATTGCGCTGGCCGTTGCTCAAGGAAAGCTACCAAGCTCAGAAAAGGCGTCGATGCAGAGCGGTAGCAGCGAGAAGCGAATGTACTTGACTTTGTCTCAGGTGTAATGAAAGTGCCATCCCTACTAGTCTACACTTCTAAGCAAATCAGGAGAATTTCAGCAGTGTTTGCAATCCTCAGAACCTTTCCGACTTTTGTAGATGTAGGGAAACTGCTAGGTGCTTACAGTCATGGGTTGAGAGCTTGAACTTGATGCATACTGTAACATCGTGCATGGTTGTCTTGCTGCCCATCAGAAGTTTCTGGATCAAGCCAAACAACCTCAAATTGGCAGCTGTCAAGTTAAAACCAATTGAACCCCAAAGGAGATGTTTTCATGTTATCGAAGTCGTGCCACATTTTTTGACAGGGTGAACAGCGTTGCATAGAAGCAGGTCAAGCTTGTTGATCCATGAAACCTAGCTCTGCAACCTGGGGCAATGAAAATCAAACAAGTATCTAGGCAGCACCTGCATCCGGAAAATCTTTTACACTTGAGCAGAGAACAACCCAGCAGTAGATGTGAGTTGAGATTTCGGTAGACCTAGACATAGGCCTCAACGAGCATGTTGCGGAAAGTATTTGCCTTGGCCCCAGATGTGCTTTTAGCATCTTTTAGCGTGGGATAGGGTACGTCACCAAGTTGACCAAACTCATGGGGGAAGAATCCTTCGGGCACTGAGCAGAAGCTGAGGCCGTGCTTTGTTTCTGCTGTATGGCCCATATGGCCTGTAGTCTCGAAGCTGATTGGCCTCGATCCTAGCGCGAAGCTGCACTTTCAGTTTGCGGGCCAAGATTTCTGTCGACCTGGCATAGAAACCACTTTCAAGGATTAGCTATTCAGATCAAGCTGACCTTCCTATGTCTCAGAAATGGCGAGATGAGATGAAGGCGTTGGATGGCTTTGGGGTAAAGCAACAGGGGCAATGGCACAGACATCCAAACAGAGAACCGACAAGCCATTTCGGCCCAGCCCATCGCCGCTGCACATCTAGTCTGGATGTTTGCAATGGCTACCTGACGCTTCCGTGGTGCCCTGCTTCTGGCCTTCTGCATGACGGTCTCCCATGGCAAGGGACGTCTGATTATGAGCGGCAGTGCCAACTCTGGACTGTTGCATTTGTTGCTCTCCTTCTCCTTGGGATCCTTTTGGGCAGGACTCAGCAAGTCAGATGCTGAGCTGCTTTACCACGGCAAATGCTCTCCCAACCTGCTTGCTGTGTGGCTCACCGACGAAAATCAGGTGCACCAATAAATAAGCGATATCCAGTCTGCGTGCAATGGTTTCCACATGTAGCACGTAAACATAGACAAACTGCAGGATCTTGCTGGCATCTTTTTGCGGATCTGCACCACGCCCTTCACGGGCCATTTGGAGACCATGGCAAGCCACAACCCACCTTGCGTATCCTTGCGTGAGCGTTGGTTGGTGTCTATTTTGTCTCCAAATTTTGGAACCCCAAATCCATCAAAATGTCATGGGTTCATCATCATTTTCCCAGTTGAAATGTCCGCAGCGATCTTGTGGTACTTCCATGTACTTCCTTTAAAGGCCGGGGTGGTGCCGTAAGAATCACCCACCTCATTGAGGGTGGGATGCCCCTGACCCAGCATGGCACTCTGAGATGTATGAAGGTGGTGCTTCAGAGTAACAAATCTCCAATATTTCGCCTCGAGCGCAAAAAAAAGGGTAACAGGTCAGAAAGAAACCCTGCTATGGCTTCATTGAGGACCCCTTGGCTGTTTTCCCGCAACATGAGGTCGTCACATAGTAGATGCTACATGATGCTAGGATGCCAGTGTGATTCCAGATCCAGGAACTGGCAGTGGATGCTGCCAGTATTGGTTCGATATTTGCAACACTGAACGTGTGCAGTGTGTATTATTACCTTTTGATCCGTTTGCTGTGTGCCTCCGTTGCGCTCCACAAACGTAGAACAATGGGGCAGTATTGTGCGGCATGGGCCGGACATTCATCCTGACAAGAATAGAATCCAAAGGCTATGACGGCTATGAAGTGATCGCACTTTCCATGGCAAGTTAGCTGCTGATCATTATCCTGTCCTGATTATTGTGCAGGCAAAGCTGGCCAGCATTGATACGGACAAGCTTACGCCTCAACAAAAGAAGAAGTTCCAGGTCAGCCTGATAGCCTTGAGTTAGATCTTCAGCTTCAAGTGGAAGTGTCACATACCATCCTTCTTGGATCTTGTCCGATGTAAATACACCAAGCCGAGGCATTACAAGGCATGATTGTCCTATTATTTTCCCATCCATTCGCCCACGTGCAGGCACTTTGGCGTCGTGTAGAAGGCACATCAGGCTCAGTTGAGTGATTCATCAACTGCTCACCGCCTTTGACGCATTGCCTGCCATTGCCCGGCCTGGTTTTGGATGTTTTTGGGAGGAGATTCAACAGCTTTCTCTCCAAATGCCCTGGCAAGCCAGCTGCATCCCAGTGAGTTTATGTGATTTTAATTGATTTTCAGGTTTGGAAAGGTTGATACTTATTCACAATAACAGTAATTAGTATGTCATGAGAAAGGTGAAAACATGCGGGGCAGATGATTTTTCAATAGGTGTCAAACATTTTTTGGACGATTTAACGGCCTCAACTCAACTGTCAACCCTGGGCTGTGCTTTCGGGAAGTGGTGATTTTTCATAGTTTTTCAGTGTAAAACTCTCTCAGTTTTGTTCTCAAGCCATACGCTGGGACGCTCGAAATCAATTTAGGCTGTTGTTGCCATAGTGCTGGCGGCAGTGCTTTGGCATACAAAGCCATGGCGTGGAACTCAGAAGAGCCCGGTGTCACGGAAACAAATAAAGTATGCAGACATATTTATACATATTTCAGATCATTAACGTTTGCTAAGCAGGATTCATTGCCGTATTTACCGGTTTGAGTCTATGTGCACATGGACATGGTATGGTTGTGCATCCTTTGCATTCCTCTATGCTGCATCCACCAAGGAACACACTGGCACAGCCAGCGTCGCAAGGGACTTGCTGATGGAACTTGCTCTTTCATGCTATTGGTTGACACGAAGTTTACATTACATACACGGAAGTTTCCTAAAATCATCTAAATCATCCATTTTGATAGGATTTTCCCTTATAAATCCCCCTAAATCAAGGATTTTCCCTTATAAATCACAAATTTTTGGGGTATCCCCATGACTATGGAAACCACCATATACGTGGTTGATCGCCAAGGATGGCAGCTTCTCAGAGCAAGCTCCTTAGTACCGTTCTTGAATGTTCGTGGTCAATGTTCGTGGTTGACGATATTAATTGGGGGCGTTGCCTCAAAGATAATTAGTGAATATGAGTGATAAAGTATGATAAATATCACATTAAAGATTGCTACCCCCCCTATTGATCCACATCCTATTGATCCACATCCTATTGATAGATTGGGGGTGGATGAATCCACGGTTTTTCCAAACTCCGACTTCTTTTAGGCCCAGACCCTGCCCGCAGTGCAGAGCTAAGAGACTTACGCTTACGCCAGCTGCCCAGCGCTCGCACTTCCCCAACGGCCCCAACGCACTGTGGACATAATGCGTATGGGCTGTTACACCGACTTCATGTCATGCTGAGGTCGATTTGCTAACCAAAGTGCAAGCCAAGACTAATTGCAAAAAACATGTGAATTGATTCGTTTAAAGTCGCGCTATACATATAAGCGGCCAGGCATGGCCAGGCCAACTGAAAACAACTATTGCCAAACATGACCTAACATAAGTAGAAAAAGTATATAGAAGGATGCAGAAGGCAAATTACAAGCAATGTTTGATGATTTCACTTGATTCACCTCGCTGATTTCAATCTTTAAAGGGAGCATTGGTATCTCGACAAGATGAATGATATAGATATAGATGATAATGCCTGGCAAATGTATGTAAATATGGCATAGTATATTGATTTTATATGATTTTATGCCAACTAAAAGCTTCTGTCTCAACAGCTTGAACGGGTCTTAACAGCGTAAAGGAGATTGTGGTATATGGGGTGTTCTTAAAATGATGTATCCCCAAACCCATGGGCTTCAATACGAAAACTATATGCAAAATGGTCTAATCTTGGATGATTTGGGGGCACCCCAATTTTAGGAAACCTCCATATATATTATATATATACGGGCAAACCCCTCAGTTTGCCCGCGCCAACGCCGACGACATGTCCGAACATCAAAAAGCACAGTGTTTTGTGGGACAAAATGCACTTGTCCATGATCATGGCTTTCATCTTGCAACGCACAGCTTAGCTACCTGTGCGTTGAATGTTACAACAACATACAACAACAACAACATACAACAACAACAACAACCAACAACAACAACAACCAACAACAACAACAACATCATCATCATCAACATCATCACCATCATCATCATCATCACCATCATCATCATTTTCATCTTCATCTTCCCAATTGAATTGAAAGTTTAACGGGGTGGGAATTTATATTCCTAATACCCTTGTTGATCTTCCCAATTGAATGTCAAGTTTAACGGGGTGGGAATTTACATTCCTAATAGCCTTGTTGATCTTCCCAATTGAATGTAAAGTTTAACGGGGGTGGGAATTTATATTCCTAATACCCTTGTTGATCTTCCCAATTGAATGTAAAGTTTAACGGGGGTGGGAATTTATATTCCTAATACCCATGTTGATCTTCCCAATTGAATGTAAAATTTAACGGGGGTGGGAATTTATATTCCTAATACCCTTGTTGATCTTCCCAATTGAATGTAAAATTTAACGGTGGTGGGAATTTATATTCCCATGTTGATCTTCCCAATTGAATGTAAAATTTAACGGGGGTGGGAATTTATATTCCTAATACCCTTGTTGATCTTCCCAATTGAATGTAAAATTTAACGCGGATCGGAATTCATATTCTCAAAATCCCTAAGAAATTGTGTGGGCGAATTGGGGGGTGTGCGTGTATAAGTACATCACGAAAGGTAGCTCCAGAGGGGCTACCTTGAGTTTTACTTTACGAAGTAAAGGGGAGGGCGGCCAGCCCCGTTACCTGATTCTTCAGGAGATTGCTAGTCATTTTAGTACCCCCCCCCTCCACACCTCCCACGCACCCTAAGAGCAGACTCAAAATACTGTAATTTACAGTATTTTTGTTCTTTTCGGATCAAGAAACCACATTTTGCTACATGGTGAAACCTCCGTAAATACCAGTGTTTTTGCTAGGTGCTGGCCAAAAAACACTGTAAATACCGTGCTTTTTACTACCAGAGGCAAAACACATCGTAAATACCGTGGTTTTGGGCTTCCGACCCGCCAAAAACATTGGTATTTACGGTGTTTTTTGCTCCGAGAGATGCAAAAACACGCGAAAACACCACCGATTTGACGATTTTCGGCCACTACGGAACCGAGCAAAAACGCTGCAGGGGTAACACCAACACCAACACCAACAA